CTCCATCCGAAAGCTTCTTCAACCCTAAATCCTCAATAAAAGGTCGAACGAATAACCTTTCACGAATGTTGTCCTCAAAATAGATACAATCTCTTTAGAGTATTGACAAAAGAGATACAATTTCTTTTACGCCTACCTTTTATCACGCTGTGAAAATAACCGGAGTTCTCTCACCTTCCTGTTAGGAATATTATTAATTGTTAGGTTATTATTAATTGTTATTTGTTATTTGGCTTAGTCTGCACTGATTGAGAGAATCGTGCTTGAAGTTTGTTACCTTTGATTATGCCTAAATTGTAGGGAGTCTAATATTGCTTAGTGACCCTATTTCCTAGCCACTACTTAGGACGTATTCAGTTTCTTTTGTAAGCTATTTATATAGCAGCATTACTTTCTAATAAATTACTCAGTTATCAGATTTGTTAACATCTGGTATCAGAGAGAGAGAGAAAAGAACTCACGAGAGTGCAACAAAAGAGTGTCTGGGATATGGGATCCGAAGAGAAGAATGATGGATTTTCTGCACCCTCCATTCCCAAATTCGATGGAGATTACGATCATTGGAAGATGGTCATGGAAAATCTCTTGAGATCCCGAGAATATTGGCCCGTGGTGGAGAATGGTTACACGCTACCTAGAGAAGGAGAAGTGCAGACAGATGGGCAGAAGAAGATCCTGGATGATTTGATGCTTAAGGATTTGAAGGCGAAGAATTATTTGTTCCAATCCTTGGACAAATCAATTCTATGAACCATCACCAAGAAGGACACCTCTAAGCTGTTGTGGGACTCCATGAAGATGAAGTACCAAGGGAACGATCGGGTCCGGCGTGCTCAGCTCAATCGACTCCGACGAGAATTCGAAGTGTTGGCTATGAAACAGGGGGAGTCAGTTAATGACTACTTCGGAAGGGTGATGACCATAGCCAATGACATGCGAAATTGTGGTGAAGACATGACATATGTAAAAATCGTAGAGAAAATTCTGCGAACACTGACAGAGAAATGGAATTACATTTTGTGTTCCATTGAGGAAGCTAACGATGTTGATACGCTCACAATTGATGCCTTGCAAAGTTCCCTCTTGGTCCATGAACAGAAGTTCAAGAGGGAACCAGATGAAGAACAAGCGTTGGCGGTTTCTTATGGTGACACCGATGGTCGAGGTCGAGGGAGAAACACCTTCAGAGGAGGAAGAGGTCGTGGACGAGGCCATCAGAGCTATAACAAAGCAACAGTTGAATGTTACAAATGCCATCAATTAGGGCATTTTCAATATGAATGCCCTAATCTCGAGAAGACGGTTAACTATACCGAGATGAGCAAGGATGAAGAAATGCTTCTTATGGCTTATATTGAAGCATCAGGGGAAAAGGGACATACTGTATGGTTCTTAGACAGTGGGTGCAGCAACCACATGAGCGGAGACATCTCTCGTTTTTGTACCATGGAAGAAGGGTTCAATAGAGAAGTCAGTCTAGGGAATCATATGAAGATGAAGGTTGTCGGCAAAGGAAGTGTTACATTAAATCTTGCTGGTGTCGGTCATGTTGTTCAAGAAGTGTTCTATATTCCAGAATTGAAGAACAATCTACTAAGTATTGGACAGCTGCAGAAGAAAGGCTTGGATTTTCTATTCAAGAACAATGAGTGCAGAATCTATCACCCATCGAAGGGCCTTATCCTTGAAAGCAGAATGACACTCAACAGAATGTTCGTATTGCTCTCGAAGACCTCTTAAATCACCAATGAGTCAAGTGAGTGCTGTTTCCAAACTGACATCCAAGAAATTGCTCATCTATGGCACTGCAGGTATGGCCACCTTAGCTATACTGGACTCCAAACTTTGGCTAGCAAGAACATGGTTAAAGGCCTGCCAAATCTTGGAGAAATCACTGCTGCTAGAAAAACAACTATTGTATGCATTGGGTGTTTGAAAGGAAAACAACACAGGGAGATCATGCCAAGAAAAGCCATGTGGAGAGCTGAAGCCCGATTGAAGCTTATACATGCCGACATATGTGGTCCCATCTCGCCAATGTCACATGGTCAAAAGAGGTACCTCATTTGTTTCATTGACGACTTCAGTAGGAAAGCTTGGGTGTATTTTATTGCTTATAAGAGTGATGCATTTTCTACTTTCAAGCAATTTAAAAGTCGGGTAGAAAGGGAGTCCGGTTTATTTGTGAAATGCTTGAGAACTGATCGTGGAGGTGAGTTTACCTCACATGAGTTTACTAATTATTGTAGACAAGAAGGGATAAAAATACAGCTCACCACAGCCTACACGCCACAACAAAACGGAGTTGCCGAAAGGAAAAACCGGACTGTCATGAACATGGCCAGAAGTTTGCTTGTCGAAAAAGAAGTACCTAAGGTTTTCTGGCCTGAAGCTGTTAATTAGGCGTTCCATGTGCTTAATAGGAGTCCGACCTCTGCTGTGAAAGAAATGACTCCCGAAGAGGCTTGGTCTGGAGTGAAGCCCACAGTCGAGCACTTTAGAGTTTTTGGCTGCATTGCTCATGTCCACATTCCAGATGCTCGAAGAATCAAGCTTGATGACAAGAGCACTAAGTGTGTTTTATTTGGAGTAAGTGCCGAGTCAAAGGGATATAGGTTATACAATCCCATTAAAGGAAATATCATTGTTAGCAGGGATGTCGTGTTCGAAGAAAATAAGAAATGGGATTGGAACACAAGTCACTCAGAATTCCGCAATGATCAGCTTGATTGGGGAGATATGGATATTACTATTGCTGACCAAGAGAGTGATACAGTGACACCACAAGATCAGTCAAAGCATGAAGAAGCCATTGAGTACAGTGGAGATATAAGTCACTCAACAGATGAGAATGAGGAGGTTGAGAATGCAGCTGGGATTGAGATTGCTACTGAGGATGAAAATGTAGTAGCTACAACTGAAAATACTGAAAATTCTGCAGCAGAAGGCACACGTATTAGAAGAACTCCAAGGTGGATGGATGATTATGTGGTGAACTCTGTTGTCGTAAACTCTGACGTAGCAGCAAGTTTTAACCCCCAATCCTTTGACGAAGCTGTGCTAAATACCAATTGGAAGAAAGCCATGGATGCTGAAATTCAGTCCATTGAAAAGAATGGAACCTGGACTCTAGTTGAATTACCAAAGGGAGCGGTAAGCATAGGGGTCAAATGGGTGTATAAAACAAAATTGAATCAACATGGTGAGATTGACAAGTATAAGGCTCGATTAGTAGCAAAGGGATATGCGCAACGACATGGAATTGATTATGAAGAAGTATATGCGCCAGTGGCAAGGCTAGACACCGTGCGTATGATCTTGGCCCTTGCTGCACAAAGAAGTTGGGTTGTGTATCAGCTGGACGTGAAGTCCGCATTCTTACAAGGTGAGCTTACAGAGGAAGTGTACGTTGATAAGCCAAAAGGCTATGAAGTACAGCATGAGAAAACTAAGGTATACAAGCTACAAAAAGCTTTGTACGGCCTTAAACAAGCACCGAGGGCTTGGTTTAGCAGGATTGAAGCACACTTCAGAAATATGGGTTTTGATAAAGAAGCAAGCGAACAAACCTTGTTCACCAAAATCAATCAACAAGGGAAGCATTTGATCGTTAGCCTATATGTTGATGATTTGATTTATACTGGAAACGATGAAGCCATGTTGAAAGAATTCAAACAATCAATGATGGATGAATTTGAAATGTCTGATCTGGGAAGAATGCACTACTTCCTTGGCTTAGAGGTTAAGCAGCTCAACAATGGAATCTTCGTCTCTCAAAAGAGATATGCCGAAGAGGTCTTGAAGAAGTTTAGGATGGAGGAAAGCAACTTGGTCCTAAATCCTACTGTTCCTGGAGTTAAAATTGATAAAGATGATACAGGTGTGACGGTAAACAGCTCCATGTTCAAACAACTTGTTGGTAGCTTGATATACTTGACAACTACCAGGCCGGATCTGATGTATGCAGTTTGTGTAGTCAGTAGATATATGGCCAAACCAACTAAGATGCACCTTATGGCAGCAAAGAGAATACTGCGGTATGTAAACGGAACTGCGTGTTTTGGGATTTTCTATCAAAGATCAGGCAATCAGGAGCTTGTGGGATACACAGACAGCGACTATGCCGGTTGTATCGATGATAGGAAAAGTACCTCAGGTTATGCCTTCATACTTAGCAATGCAGCTGTGGCATGGTCATCAAGGAAGCAACCTATAGTCACACTCAGCACCACAGAAGCGGAATTTGTAGCTGCGTCATCCTGTGCCTGCCAACTGATTTGGATGAAGAGGGTTCTGTCCAAGTTAGAGTACAACGGAAACAAAAGTCCGGTGATTTTTTGTGACAACAGTTCTACCATCAAACTCTCAAAGAACCCAGTTATGCATGGCAAGAGCAAACATATTGATGTGCGCTTTCACTTCCTCCGTGATTTAGTAAATGAAGGAAAGGTTCAACTGAAGTATTGCGGCACCAAACAGCAGATAGCTGATATCTTTACTAAGCCGCTCAAGCTTGAAGTCTTTCAAGAGCTGAGGAAGAAGCTTGGTATATGTGACATCTCAGAGATAAACTAGACAGTCTAGTTTAGGGGGAGAATTATTAGGAATATTATTAATTGTTAGGTTATTATTAATTGTTATTTATTATTTGGCTCAGTCTGCACTGATTGAGAGAATCGTGCTTGCAGTTTGTTACCTTTGATTATGCCTAAATTGTAGGGAGTCTAGTATTGCTTAGTGGCCCTATTTCCTAGCCACTACTTAGGACGTATTCAGTTTCTTTTGTAAGCTATTTATATAGCAACATTACTTTCTAATAAATTACTCAGTTATCAGATTTGTTAACACTTCCTTCAACCATAAAGCCCTATCCTTAAGCCTAAGAATCTTCTCCTTCTGATTAACATGATTACACACTTCCAAAGAAGCATCCTTCATTTTTTCTTCCCATTTCACCAAAGCTAGAGAAACCTAAGCTATTGACCTGAGAATCTAAATCATTAAGGTCTCGAACCGCCTCTTCCACCTTCAGACCCAAATACATATACATTCCATTTCTCCAGGCTAGCTTTAAGCAGACCCAGTTTCTCTTTCAAAACATAATCCCCTCTACCCCTGACTACGTAGAATTTCCATTCAACCTCCACAAACTTCAAGAAACTAGAGTGTTTTAACCAACAATTGTTAAAATTAAACGACCTTGGACCCCAATCTACATTATTAGTCTTCAGCGAGATTGAAAAATGATCAGATATGCCCCTTCTACCTATATATTGCGCCATAATCTTCCAATCATCAATCAAATTATCTGACACCAGAAACCTGTCAAGTCTGCTTATCGAAGAACCATAGCTATTGAACCATGTATACAGACCTTCCACACATGGAACATCTATGCAAGCGATGTCTCCAATGAAACGATAAAAATCCTTCATCTCCCTTCTTCTACCTTCTTCATTTGGCCCCTTCCTCTCACTGTTATGAGAAACCGCATTAAAATCCCCTCCAACAATCCAACCACCTCACCTAAACTTACTCTTCACCTCCACAAATCGATTAATAATATTCTTGAATATATTCCTAATGGAAATTTAAATTTCTTGAAGTTATTATTAGTTTATTTATAGAATTTCTGAATCAATTCATGTTGTTTTTCAAGAATTTTAAAAAATACCATGAATCGATTTATGTCTCTGATTTGGTACAAAAGCACGTGTTCTAAAAAAATAATTGTTCCTTTTGTAAGTACATATTATTTTATTTTACAATCATTCATAAAATCAAAAGATAGTGTGCTAAAACACATTAATAAATTTACAATAATACTTTAAATACACATAACTCACACAATAACAATTAACACAAATTTTTATATGATAATCAAGTATCATGCAACCTTAACATAAATCAATACCGCCTGACACTAGCAAGGATTAGGAAATACCGATGTAATTGAGTGACACAACATTAACACTATTGCAAATGGGGTGCATAACTATGCAAGGTACTCTTGCAAACACCTTAACTTAGCAAATTTTTCCTGCTTTGCCTCTATTCTCAAAATTAATTCCCCAAATTCCATACACTAAAAAAAATTGTTACAAAGTTAAACAAAATAATAGAATAGAGAAACGAGAATAAGAGAGTATATTGTATTATTCATATTCTAAGTGTTTATTTTAAATACAATATGAGTCATATTTATAGGACATATGTAATGAATGAAAATAATAATATGGAATTCACTCATTTATGGATATCCATATTCATGTCATTTATAACACCCCGCCTTAGATGTCCATCAAGAATATGAATCATTACAAAAAATCTAGTGGAAAAAATTCTAGTGAAGGAAAAAGAGTACAACATTTTAACGAGGGATCTACCTCTTTACTAATATGTGAGATATTGGATCTAACTCTAGTATGATTGAAGTCTATTCGCGAGTAATGCGTATTGTAGTCAAAGTTTGTTCTAACATTCATTAGTCAATATTGCTAGGTTTGTTAGCATGTTGAATTGGGTCTTGCTTGTAAGTCCAATTGTTTAAGTTAGCTTGTACCCTAATTAGCTTGTAATGGATAATTATTAAAAAGTCCATTAGGTTAGTGTGCTATTTCTCTTATAAATAGCATGCTAGTCTCTCATCTTGGCATAAGGAAAAATAGGAAGATAAAATCCTAATTTTAAGAGAGAGAGAGGTTTTGTATACTTGTAATCTTTTTTCTAAGAGAAAAGAAATAATAGCAGTTTATAACCAATCCTTGTTGTTCCTTGTTGTTTTGCATTGTTTTCTTTGTTAACCATAACCCTTGTGTGTTTCTTGATCATAAAGAAGCCGTTTATATTTTATTTCAAGACACCCGATTCACAACAAATTGGTGCGGTGAGCTTGGAGAAGGTGATCTCAACAAAGTATGAGATTGAAATGTTCACCGGAGTGAACGACTTCGGTCTGTGGCGCTTGAAGATGAAAGCCCTACTGGTTCAGTAGGGTTGTTTAGAAGCGTTGAAGGGAGAGGCAGCCATGAACACGACCATGATTGAGAAAGCGCACAACACAATATTGTTGAGCCTTGGTGATAAACTTCTTCAAAAGGTATCAAATGAGACTACAATATCGGAGTTATGGGTGAAACTTGAAAGTTTGAACATGAACAAATCTCTGGTGAATCGACTCTACCTGAAGCAAGCTTTGTATCATTCAAGATGAGTAAAGATAAATTGTTGGCTGAGTAGTTGGATATGTTTAAAAAGTTGATTCTTGATCTTGAAAATATTAATGTGAAGATCGATGATGAAGATCAAGCACTGTTGCTGCTGTGTACTTTTCCCATAACACATGCTCACTTCAAAGAAACTCTCTTATATGGATGGGAGAAAGGAGCATAAACCTTCGACGGTGGGTGAAGGTTTGGCCGTTAAGGGGAAATTCTTTCGAAAGGATGGTAAGTTCAACAAGAAGAAAAGTAAAAGTTAGCAGAAGTCTTATAGTGGCGAAACATTTGGTATTTGATGTTAACACTGTAAGAAGGAGGGTCACACAAGAAAGGTGTGCCCTGAACGCCTGAAAGATCATGGAGGTAATGGTAATGCAGCCATTGCTCAAGATGATTTCGACTCATCTGATGTTCTTGTGGTTTCAAGTGGCGACTCAAGAAAAGAGTGGATTATGGATTCAGGTTGCACTTCACACATGAATCCAAACAGTGAATTTTTCGAGGAGCTATGTGATCAAGATGGTGGATCAGTGTTGCTGGGAAACAACAAATCTTGCAAAATTGCAGGTATTGGATCTGTGAGATTCAAGCTCCATGATGAGTCAATAAGGTTATTGACTGAAGTTAGGTATGTACCTGATTTGAAGAGAAATTTGATTTCTCTTGGTGAATTCGACAGGAAGGGATATGTTTTTCAAGGAGAGAAAAGTATCTTAAGAGTCATAAAGGGGTCGAAAGAAGTCTTGAGAGGCATGAAGAAACAAGGCTTGTATACCTCTGAGGCTGAGGTTGTAAGTGGTTCGAAAAATGTTGCATCCACAAAACTTGTGTCGAAGACAAAGTTATGGCACATGAGGTTGGGCCATGTCAGCAAAAGAGGCCTGGTCGAATTGGGGAAGCATAACCTGCTAGGTGGTGACAAAGTGGAAAAGTTGGAGTTTTGTGATTCTTTTGTATTTGATAAATCTTGTAGGGCAAAGTTTAACAAAGGAAAACAAAGAACACATAGATCCTTATATTACATTCATGCTGATCTTTGGGGGCCTGTAAGGAATCCTTCACACTCAGGTGCAAGGTATTTTCTATCCATCGTTGATGACTATTCCAGAAAACTATGGGTATTCATCCAGAAGACGAAGGATGAAACTTTTGAGAATTTCAAAAGTTGGAAGGTTCTGGTCGAAACTCAAACTGGCAGAAAGGTTAAGAGATTGAGAATCAACAATGGCCTTGAGTTCTGCAACGAAGCGTTCAACAATTACTGTGTTGAGTCTATAATTACAAGGCATAAGACTGTGGCAGGTACTCCTCAACAAAACGATTTAGCTGAGAGATTCAATCGAATAATTCTTGAAAGGCTTATATTCATGTTGGTTAGTGGTGGATTGAAGAAGGTGTTTTGGGAGGATGGTGTTTCGACAACAACTTATCTGATAAATAGATGTCCCTCGACTGCCTTGGGAATGAAGACACCTGAAGAAGTTTGGTCGGAACATCCACCTAGTCTCGGCAGGCTGAGAGTATTTGGCTGTGTGGCATATGCTCATATTGGACAAGACAAGGTCAAACCTAGAGCTCTGAAATGTATGTTCATGGGATACCCTGAAGGAGTCAAAACTTATAGGCTATGGTGCCTAGAGCTAGGTCACATGAGGTGTATCACCAGTCGAGATGTAGTTTTCAATGAAGCAGAGATAGCTTTCAAGAAAACTGATGATGCTGACGAAGAGCTGGAACAGGGAGAGATTCCTATTGAGGTGGAGCATGTTAATGCTGAATTGCGTATCCCAGATGAAGTCGAAGAAGACACAGAAGATGTTGTCAAAGATGAGGAGACTGATAATGACTACCTGCTAGCAAGAGACAGGTCGAGAAGAGTCATCAATCCACCTCATAACTTCCTTATAGCTTATGCCTTAATCTTTGCAAGTGAGGTTCTAGACGAAGAACCTAAAGACTATAAGGAAGTTATGAGGAGTCAAAAGAAGACTGAATGGATAAAATCCATGGATGATGAGATCAAATCTCTTTATGATAACAATACTTGGGAACTGATCAAGAAACCTGCTTGATTGTACCTGACCAGAGAGATCGATGGGCTATCACATGTCTGAGCTGTCGAACTGTTGACTTGATGGACAGAGGGGGGGGGGGGTGTACCTGAAACACACTCCGATGCCAAAGTAAGTGACGAGCAGAGTGGGGACAAGCACAGAGAGAAGAGTGACAAAGTTAAGTTACTTGACCCTCTAGTGGAAGAGGGTATTTATAATGAGCCTCCAGCGCAGGGCCAACGGTTACTCTGTGTTGGGCTGGGCCGCTAGGCCCAACGTGGATAACTGCTACGGCTGATGTGGCGTTGTAAAGACCAACACGTGGTCTTCGCCCTAGTGTAACTGTTCCGTGCGATTCGGGGGATGGAAGACCGAATCATCAGGACAAGGGTATTTACTTAATGACGTGCCCCCGTGTAGAGGACACGTGGAGAAAGTGGGGGAGGTCGGAGGAGCTCCCCGGGCAGGTTAGGCTCTGCTAGTCCGAGGGGGAGAAAGAGGCTGGTCGGACAGCCTCGAGGGTCCTGCCCGACGGCGGTTGGCCTATGTCCATCGGGGGAAAGTGTTGTGCCCGACGGACCTTCTTCCCACCCGTGCGGTACTATTGGGCCCAAATCCAGTGGGGTTTGGGCCTGCTCGATTGTGGGCTAAGCGTCGGCCCAGTCCAGAACAGTAGCCCCCTAAGTCGTTGCTTGTGGTCAAGCGAGTTACGACTTAAGCATCGAAGGGCGTCGCTCGATCGGGGAGGCTATGGCTATGTCGACCAGACGAACCCGCGACATGGGGAAGCCCATGGTCGAGGAAGAGAATTTGGAAAGACGCAGGGAAGGTGGAGGGTCGCCACATGTCTTCCTATGGCGGCTACGAGCTAGGTACTTGAGTTCCTAATGACGCTTCGTTTCCTGTGCTAGGGATATATATACGCGAGTCCGGCTCGTCTTTTTGTTCATTCGTTTCTTTTGCTGCTTCTCGACGTCCAGAGAAATCTGTCCAAAGCCTTTGCTTCTACGGCTCGACATCCACGCTTTCTCAGCCCGGCGCGGCATCTTTTTCGCCACTATACCAAGTAAGTTTCCGCTCCCTTTCTGGTGTTTTTATTGCTTATGGAGGTGTTTCTGGCAGATCTGTTGGGGGTGTTGGGAATACCGTGGGATTTTCTGG